ACAGAAAGCCTAAAGGATATTTTAGAAATTGAAGATATACAAGGACATTAATGATAAGTTTATATATATTTGTGTCTTTGTGTTCAAACAAGGGACATTCTGTAAACTACAGTGCCTTGAAAGTTGCCTTGCAGAAAATACATTCTTGATAGTGACTCTAGAGAAAATCTCTGAGCATCTCAAACTGAATCACCACAGCAGAACCAGGGAAAGAACCCTCAGAATTTACAGGGGTGAAATCCTGAGACTAAGGCCATAGGGCAGAATGCATTTAGCCTAAAAGATCCTAGAAGGGAACTTTCAGAGGCCTTCAAAACAAAAGTTCATCTCATTTCATGTTGACCTGATGGCTTCAGTGTTATGTGTCAGGGCATTGCCCAAACATCAGTGTCAGGATAAATAAAGTGTGTTCTCACTGTGTCTCTTCTGCTGAAATCTGTAGGAATTGCAGGTATCCAAGTCATTCTCTGTGACAGATAAAACCCAGCGTCAGCCACTAAAGATCATTAGAAAACACGGAGCTACTGCAAGTCCAACTCACTAAAATGATTTTCCTGAGAAGCAGTTTTACAGCAGCCAAGAAGTGCATGCAGGGCTCACTGGGTGCAATGATAACTTCCAGCAAAGTGGATTTGTTTGTAAATACACATTCCAGAGGGGCCAGCCTGCTGCTTGAGCGTGGAAAATATACACATGTTAACTACCATTTATGCTAAATCTTACATATATTATGACTGATCTTCAGCTTAATGGTATTTGTGAAATGGTAGAGGCAGCACAGAGTAGCAATAATGCAATAAAATGCTTCAGCAATATTCATTTGTTGTCTGCAAGAGGGGATCTGTGCAGTGATTCATCTTTCCACGAGTTACATACAAAGATAACTTTTAATTCCCAAAGTAAAGCAAATACATCAGAGAGGAAAGTTGCTGCTTGCAAAACAACTCTGTCCTAACAGTTCTTTATAATGATGTGAAATTTCAGCTCTTAACATAATTAAGTGAGCAATTTCCCATCATGACCCTTATGGGTTTTTATGTTGCTGTGACTGAGGAAATTACTAACTTCAGGTCTAAAGTCAGATACTTGTCTTTCATAGCTCTGAACAAATATGAATCTTCTATGGAAAAATAATTTCTAAGATACAGCAGGAAGATATGTTATCTAGATAGACCGTGATTAGTGTGAAATGAGGAAGGGAGCTTCCAAAATCAAATCTCTGGCAAATCTTAGTATTTAAAACTGGGATTTCCTAAAAAAAAAGGAAAAAGACCCAAGGAAAAAAAAAACAACAACAACAAAAAAACCACAAAACCAAACAAACATAAAAGAAAACCCCAGGCAAACAAACAACAACATAAAACCCCTTACAAACACACAAAACAATTGAGAATTTTTTCAACAAATTCCCATTTTCACAGTTTCACATGACTTTTAATCCTTCAGAGCAGACAGGTTGATGGGCAGATAATTTTTATTAACTCCAAAATCAGTATTTTTCAGCAGGTTTTCTTGCACATAGGTTAACTGGAGAGGTCCTAAAATTTTCTCAGGATTGCAGAACAACATCACCCTGGTTTATGACATCCTTGTGCAAACTGAGTTTCTTTTGTTAAATCTGGAAATTATTCCTTAAGCAGAAAGATGAACTGTACTACATTCAATTGGAGTGCTCTGCTTGCTGTATTTCACAAGGGCTTTGAAAAGCTTTTTTAAGGAACAACTAGGAAATCATATAATCCATTTTCTAATCACTTCTTGCATTTGACAGAGATGTGTGGGAGAAAGGTGGGGTGGTGGAATCTACTCAGATGTTTCTTTTAGGTTAAATATCATTCAAATAGTAATTACTGGTGCTTAAGGTGGAATATTAATGGCATTCAGACCATTAGGATAATGTATAACATTATGTGCTATACATCAATACCACCCAGGCTTGCAAAACCATTAGGACTTGCTGTATTAAGGGGAAACCCACTCACTCAAGGGCTTGTTGGTGACTAATTTATTCCTCTTGCCTTTGACTATGGTCTGTTGGAGACTGAAAACATTTAAAGTGAAGCAGTAGAGAAAAACTGTGCCTGTAAAAAAACATGTACTCAAAAGCTAAATAATATGCAATGTCATTTGAAAGATTCTCCTAATCTAATTCCCTCTGTTTCCATACATCAAAAGTAGATTACAATTTTAAGTTTCATGCTACAATTACTCACAGGGCTTATCTGTAAATGAAATTCAAGAACATGACATGAACATAATGTGCTGGCAGAAGACAGGGAGACACAGCTAATCTGCCTCCTATCACACTTTATGTCACTGTCCCCATTCATAAGAGGGACTGCAGTTGCTGGAAGATATGTTGTGAGCACAGTCCTGCTTTCTTTGCAATCCTTGACAAGATCTCCCCCACCTCGGTGTAAAGCTGTGCATTAACCATTATCTTCTCTGTTAGAAGTGAAATAACCCAAACAAAAGCCTGTCTGGAAAATATTTTTCTTCGGAGCTTTTATCAGAAAGGCATTGACATGTAAATGAAAAATTAAAAAAAAAAAAAAAAAACCTCAGGTCTTGCAGGTCCTCAAGCCCTTTGTTATCCACAAAAATGCATTGTGAAAACATTAGTTCAAATGGCACTGGGTTTACTCCTCTTGTTTAAATACAAACACTACAAAAAGCAGTAAAAAGAAAGTTTTTCAGATGCAATTTCACAGAAATCTGAAGATGAGAGCACAGAATGTGACAGCATACCCACATTTGCACACTAAATAGGACATCATAAAGAATGGCAGGGGCCTGAGTTTTACTATGTATAGGAATCTAAAGTATTTTCAGGTTTTTTGAGACTGTTTTTTTCACTATCTTGTTTACCAATGCCTCCTGGAATATTTAGCTCCCTGTTCTTTAAATGATGCAATCAGAAACTTCTAGAACAAAATGGAGAAGAGTGTTCAAATGAGGCTCTTTCTAGCAATCCTAGTTTAATATTCCCGCAAATATTCTGCTGGTGTCAGGGAAATGTTCTGTTCATGTAAAATCCAGAAAACATTATTTAGGATAGTAAGGAGCTCTACCACTACCAGAAGCTCCATTTAGAAGACAAGAAGAAGCCAGACTTCTTGTATGCAATGTATTCTCAACAAGCCAGCTGACAAGCTTGATTTCTGTTTCTGATATGTGTCAGGGGTGCAAGGGTTTAACAGCAGCAAAACCACAGGAGAAATAGCAAATGACAGAGATCTACCAACTTTTTAAAATTCTATGATGTACATTTATGCAATAAACACCAATCAACCAAAATAAACTAAGATATTTTTGTTAAAACTTATTATGAGCTACTCATAGAAAAAAGATATTTTGTTAACAACAACCTAAACTAAATATTACTATTTTTCATAATTAATATTATACCATCAGTACAATAGCTTAAAACCTCTCAATCTCCATTGCTGACACGTAATATTAAAGTCAGAAAATTGTGTTCTTGGTATCTGGAGAAGTAAAGAAACGTTAACTGATATTTTTTTTTTCCCAAAGAAAATTTTGGTACAGAAGAGAACAGTATTTAAGTCTTACAACAGTATTCATTAGATTAATCTTGCTCATTTAGTAGTGCCTTGCTATTCTCAGGTATTGCAAAAAAGTTCAGGAAGGTTTAGATTGTCTTAATGCATATTTAATTTGCACCAGTTTTCAGATAATGAAATTATTAAAAAATATTACACCAAATAAATACACAAATTTCCCAATTTTACTGTATCAAACTTTCTCTGTTTTTTTTTTCATTGGCATCCTGGTCTGCATTCTGGGTTTGAGTGTTATGTGTATTTGTGGTACTACAAGTAGGTGATAGCAAAAAAATATTATGTAAGTTGAAAAAATGCACTCTTCCCTTTAAATAAAATTCACAGCACTTCTTGTGGCAGGAAAATGGTTAATTTTCTTTTGAAAACAGGGAAAAAATTTAAGATAAGCATCCAGGAAATTGCCTTGCCTCTTCCAAATGCAAGTATAACAAGCAACTGACCCTCCATCCAAACTGAATTTTACCTTGCCTTCTTCAAATTAACAATATCCACTTCATTCTTTTTGTTCTTGGATTTTGCAACAGAACATTAAAAGGGAATTATTGCCTTCAGGATTGTGACCACCTCTGTCAACATTCCAGATCAGAGTATTTAAGTAGAAAATAGAAGAAATGCAGTATTTGCTTCACCGTTAGGGTTACTGGTTATATGGGACACACAGCAGGAATAGATTGCATCAAAATGCACCATTCACAGTCTTTCCAAGTGAGAATTACTCTTTAGTGATTGGAAATATGCTAGTGATGATGGCAGGAGGTTTTCTGATTTCCATTGTCTCTTCTGAGAAATGCTGTCCTGTTTTTTGACTAAGGACTACGGGCTCAAACTGCTGGACACAATGGTCCCTTCTATATTTTAATTGCCAGGGCATTGAGGCACTTTGGCTTAGTACAGATGTATATAATTTCCCTTGGCTAGTTCCTCAGCTATCCCCCTAAATTGCCTCTAATTTCCTGGAGTTAATTGTGCAGAGTGCAATGTAAATTTGGTTGTTTTTGTCATAGCTCACCATCACTGGAAAACCTCCAGTGGCTGACAAGTGGGTTTAATGAAGCACCTGACCTTCAACTGGGTCATCTCCAAGCTTGTTAGTGCTCACGTTAATGACAGACTTGGAAGAGATACTTAGTGGTGTGCTCAGGGGCACATACACACACCGTGCTACACGAGGAAAAACATCCCCAAGATAATCTTATAAAGCATTCCTTAGTTTGGAACTTGCAGGTTTCGAGGCAAACTTATTTATTGCACAGCTAGGAAAAGAGGTGAATTACAGTTTAATTGCTGTGTTATTCTCCATTTTTACATACAGAAGCCAAAGGCATTTACTCATAAAAGTATTTTTATTGTAGTGTAGGATTCAACGTGATTTTTTTTTTTTTTTTTTTTTTTTTTTTTTTTTTTTTTTTTTTTTTTTTTTTTTGTGGTTTAACCCTGATAGGCAGCTAAACATCACACAGCATCTTACCCACAATGAGATGAGGAAAGAATTGGGAGGGCAGAACAAAAGAGAGAACTCATGGGTTGAGATAAAACCAGTTCAACATGCAAGCAAAGTAGAATAAAGAATTCATTCACTGCTTGCCATGGCCAGGAAGGTTCAGCCTTGTCCAGCAGAGCAGGTCTCCATCACACATAATGATGGTTTTTTCAATGCATTTTTCAGGTCTCATGCTGAGAAAAAGTTCAGCAATTTGCCATGTCCACAACAGACTTTTCAGGATGTGGGTCAGTTCTTTTTTCTTTCAAAATAGGAAGCAGGTAAAAAACTTGCATTCAAATATTCACTGAATTCATGAGCATGCCTGTAGGGTGGCCTCCAAAGTGTTGAAATTCTGTTGGAATAAAAGAAACATCTATGACTCATTGATTATTTAAAAACTACAAAGAGTTATGGTACTTTTGTAGAAAGACTCAGGTGAGTTAACTGGAGATATAAAATATTTCCTTGTGACAGGAACCCACCTGGGCTCCTCTCTCTGGCTCTGTAGAAGGTAATTGTGTCTTGCTCTTAGAAAGCCCTGAGCTCTTTTGGCTCAGGTAATCTTGGAAGAGTTCAGCCTGAGGCAGAGATCAGCTCAGGAAATTTTAAGAATGAAAAAAAGGGCTTTTATTTTACAAACTGCTAGTGAGGCAGCATTACCAGCCACACATAATTAGAGAAGTCTGCGTTTTGTGGGGTTTTTTTTGCCTTTCTGTGTTTGATTGCTTTTTTTTTTCTGTTCTGTAACAGAGAGCAGCAATTATCAGCAGACAGGGGATGGGATCTTTAAAACAACATTGTCTGCTTTAAAGGTCTATTAATTTCTTCTTACAAAAGCTATCAGCTTTTTGGCTATTTTCTGTTGATTTTCACAGTTTTGTTTCAATTCCCCTATGTCAACCACATTAGTTGTAAAGCTAACCTTGAAAGCAAGAAGTGATAAAAGGTAATAAAAGTCAATTAATCCTGGTAGTTTAATACCTACTCTATTAAAATGCTTTTATCTGCAATATTTCTATAATTTCAAGATTCAACTATTAAAATGTTTTTCCAGATTTTGTTTTTCCCTGAAAACTTACACAAATAGAAATTTACATAATGGGAAAAAATCTAGCCTTACTTGATTGTACACTATCTTTTTCAAAAGTAAAAATTAATTGCGCAGAATTTTTAAATAGACCCTACTTTTAAATAGACTTTCAATAGACATTTTAAATGTACATTATACCAAGCAAAATAGATAAAAGATGACTACTTATTTCTTGTGGAGTTTCTTGTATACTCACAGAAACAAGTGAAAATCCTGATTAAATAAGACCAAAGATAATTTGGTTCAGATATTTTCAAAATCAGGAGAACTAATTATTTATGTGTGACCATTCTGAAGTTACCTTGGGAAACCAAGCAATCTTTAATGGAGTAAGAGGAAAAAAACCTTATAGAACAAAAACAAGAAAATCTAATAAATTAAAAAAAAAGAAAAAAAAGAAAAAAAAACCCTAAACAAACCAAACCAAGGATTAGAATTACAGTTTTCAAAACTATCACCCTGGTCAATATTATTTTCAAAATTGTTCCTAAATATTTTATTGTTAGACAACATTCTATTTTTTTTTTTTTTTAATTTTTCATTTGTTCATTTCCATTTGGCTTTAGATGTCAGGATCATAATGAAATTATTAGAGTAAGAAAATAGCTAACATGAATCATGTAGTTTTTAATTTCCTTTTCACAATTTCATATTCCATGGGGTCAGGCAAAAGAAAAGTTAAATTCCTAAATGTATCAATTGATGCTCACATTTTGAAATAGACACAATGAATGGTGTGATCCTGATGAATGAGAAAAAACCTGCCCCAATATTTCACAATTTGCCAGGCTGTTATTGTCATTGACAAATGAAGCTTTAATATATCTAGTTCTTCTAAGGCAAGCTCTGCAGAACAGATGTTTTTTTCCTAATATGACAAGTATTAAAATATCTTGTGAGCATCTTGGTATTTTTAAGTCCTCCTAAATGAAATATGTCAGAAATAACATGGACAGGAGGCTCTTAAATAGAAGCAACACAGGCAGTCACGTCTGAGCAGGATCCAGATCTCAAGCTCACACTTGGCTGTGACATCAGCTTGCTCTGGGACTTTGGGCAAGTCATCCTCAGCTCTTTTTTTTTCACTGTGTAATTGTTCTTGTCTACTTACATTGTACAAGTTCTGTGGCCTAGATGGTCTCTTACAGCATTTCTACACTACTGAAATCAGAACACATGTAAATATCTGTACTGCTGTCCAATACTTAAATGCATCTGACATCTCTGGAAATACATAACTCATTTATACAGTCTGCTGAATCACGAAATCGGAAAGTAAATCACAAATCCACAAATTCACCACAATTATTTTTCCCAGTTTCATGCCATCATCCTCAAAGAATATGTATGATGCATCCCCATAGTGGCACTCTATTTATTTCAGTAGTTCTTAATGATCTTTTAAACTTCATTTATTACATAAGCATGTAACATGTCATTTACAGAAACAATATGTTTCCCACAAAATTTTGTTAAACTCCTTTTGAGTATAACAGAAACTGAAGGAACATAGTCCCTTGTAATTATGCATCCCTTTTCTAGACTGAAACCTGGAACAGCCTTAGCAAGTCTCTCTGATAGTATCTGTTCTGCTTGGAGGGAACTAACATTGTGAAATGGAAGTTTTTGAAGTCTGTCTTATTTTTTATGATGTTGCTTGAACCAGGCATACAAAATATAAGTATATAACAGTAATCAGATTTAAAATCAGCAAAATATAGTGTGTGTATATATAGATATACCCCATGAGGTTAAAAAACCCATATGATTTATACATTTACGCACACACATAAATATAAATAAAACATACAAGTAGTAAGCAGACAATTAATTTACATTTTCCTCTCTTAACCATGGGGCTGCTCATCTCACAAATCATATTTCTGTGGGAAATGAAAGGTAGACTGCTGCCAGCATTTTGTAAGAAATAATGACACACTTTACTACCTGTAAGTGCTGACTGAGTGCTTCTGCTTTTCCTTCCCAAGGTGACTGTAACACAGATTGATGAGAGATTCCGTAGGACTGCAAAGGTTAAAGATGCAGACCTGGAGCTAGAAGGCAGCCCTGACACTGATGGAATACAGTACAATGAGAGTAGCCACATTATTGTCCCATCCTCTGATAACCAATGTAATATGAAAACTGACTAGAGGAGAAGGGAACAAATTAAATCCATTAATCAAGCATATCTGTGCTAAACAGTTGCTCTGAAGAGAGGAACAAATGAAAAATATACTGTTTGTTTCTATGCTTGCTACCACCAGAGAAAAAATTAATTATAAAGCTGTGGCTCAACTATTAGTTAAGTTTTTTCTTGAAAAAACATTTATTGCTTTGTCAAAGAACAAATGAACCTCATTAGTGATATTAGTTTCAGCTGATCATTTTGCATTAGGACAGTCTAATAATATATCCTTTAAAGATCCATTCAAGGAAATAACTTCAAAGAAACAGAGTCCATTCTATTGTATTAGACCTAAATCAGAAATATATGATTTGCACTAGCTAGAAGTCAATTTTTTTTTCATATTGCCCTGGTAAAGTGGTTACTCTGTTGCCTGGAGTTAGCTGTTTGCAGGTATTCACAACGGGGTCTCTCTGGTTAAGGGGTCTTACAATTCACTCCCAAAACTCTGCTCTTTAGTGCATTATCTGAAATCTGTCTAGTTCCTGAAACAACTCAAAAACCCTAAGTAGGGATTGGTGTGGGGGGAAGGGGGTTGTTTTTTGTGTGTGTGTAATAAAATAAGTTGAACCTCAACAGAATTCTTCCAAAACTTTCTATTTATAAAGGGAAGGAAGGTATGTGGAAGTTCTCTAATCTAAACAGAGCAAAGAGTAGAGGTTGTTTTCATGTATTGCTCTGTCATACTGCTGGAATCTTATGAAAGCAGTCCCTCCCCTTTGGAAAAAAGAGAAGCCAGCTCTCTATGAACTGGAAGCCTTCAAGGCAAATAATTACCTGGAGAAGGTCAGAGAAGTTGTGCATGTATTAGCAGAAATGGGTGAGGGTTTGAAGTGCAGCATTTCTGCCAAAGTTTTTAATCCCTTTTTCAAAAAGGAATTTCTTCATGGTGAAAGCCTCAGGTTTGCAATGGGCTCTTCTAGAGTGCTAGGCTCCTCATGATGTAAATGACTCCTCTGGGGAATTGAACTGAAACTGTGAAGATAAAGCAGGCAGATATCACACAATAATTAACTTGTCACTACTCAATTGACCTGATTCCCACTGGGAGTCTAGAGGCAAAGAGGCAGTTGTCAGACATCACAGCTAAGGAAGTCTGCTTCCATTGTTTTTAGGTCTCATCAGTACCATCCTTGATAGGCAAACCTATGGGAAGAACTTACAAAGCACTCGGTACATTTGAGAAACACTTTCTTCCCCAGGGAAGTAGTCTCATATTGCAAAAAACGCCCTGCTATTATTTTTCACACTTCAACACTGATACTGTGTATTTTCTTGCCCAAATATTTATTTTCCAAAACCTTGAATAAAACTATATTTTGCCTGTGTCCTCTGCTGGAATTGAAAAAAATTTTAAGATGTTACTGAGGGGGATGGAGAAGGAGTTATAACAGCACATGGAAACACAGATATGCCAAATTAAGTAGGCCTGATTTTCTTAGACCAACTAAGAGTTGCTCTATCCAATTATTAGTCATCCACAGAGCAGCACAATATGGATTCTCACCTGCTAAAAGAACAATATTTAAAGATTAATTTTTTTTCAATTGTGAATGGATTCATGGTTCAACACCAAAACCAAGAGCCCCTTCAAAAAACAAACAAACAAACAAACAAGCAAACAAACTACAAAAAAAAAACCTGATAACAGATTAAATAATTTTAAATCTAATTTGTTTAAATATGGAAATCCATCTGGAGCAGAACATAAAGTCTGACCCAGAGTCTCCATTACCTTCTGTTGAAGTGGTTTAGCTGGCTTTCTCTTTCCAGAGCATGGTGTAAAATGCAGTAGATATCAACCCAACAAAAGCAGCTGCAAAGAGACCCTTGATAGTTCCTCTTGAAACTTACCTTCAATTGCAAAGCTGCTTTTTGTACAATAGACACAGATGTTTCCTGGGGGTAATATTCAAAATTATTGAGATTTAACTGCAGACCTCACACTTGTACTGAATGTCCAGGCATTCTTTCAGTTTAAACAAGACAACCTTGTCTGTACATTGCTTTAACTCCCATTAACTCCATTTTGGTAATCAATCCATCCAGCCTTAAGCTATTTTAGCAGGAAAGAATATATTCAATAGAAGTCTCACAGGGTGTTTCAGTGCTTGTCTTTCATAATCCACCTCTGTGGTAAGTGACCAGAGGTTATCTTTAAACACATTTCTCTTTTGGGTGCATGACAGGATAAAATCTTTGACATTATGTCCTTAGCAGGAGATGACTGCATTAGCCTGTGCTCCCCATGGTGCCATTTGACAGACTGAAGTGTGAATGGTGATATCTGGAAGGGAATGTGTCATGGGCATAAAGGGCCATGATTCAAACCTCCCTTCTTGTTTTTTCCACTGCTGGAGAACTTAAATAGCCTTAGTTGTGGGAACCCCAGCCCTGCTCTGGGGTCCTATGTGGTGGTAAAATTCCTCCTCCAACCCGAGCTTCCAAAGAAAAACTGCACAGGCTCTTGCTGTTCGGTCTCAAGGCAGTTTATGGTGAGTTATCTAAAAGATTGTCTTCTCGAGCTGCAGCTGTTTGGTCAGTGGCCTGGGCAGAGGCATACACACACCCTGACATCCTCCCTGTCTGCTGTCTTCTTCTTCACCCTCCCCGCCCTGGGCTGCGGCTATCTTTTATATGATATATTACGTATTACATGTTCATAGTTTTCTCCCAATACCTACTACCTATATTACAAAGTGCTTTTCTACTCTAAACCAATCTGGAGTTCCAACATCACCAAGAACATGGAGGTAAGGAAGAAGGAGGAAGAACAGGATCAGCCCACTTTCCTCCATCTTAGAACTTCTGACTCCCATGTACAAAATAACAACACCCCTGTACAGGTACTAAAACACCCCTGTAAAATACTAAAAAAAATTCCCCTCTGTTTTGTAACTACTTTTACTATATTATCTAACCCTTTGTGATTGCTTGTTCCACCTCCAAAGTTGGTAACTCATTCCATGGCTCAAACTCAAAATCACAGCTGTTTCCAGCCGCCTGCCAGGGTCTAGAATGCCTCTGACCAAGGCCTGGAACCTCTAAAAATGTCTGAGAGACATTTTGAGTTCCAACACTTAGACAGAATTCAAGTCATCCTTTGTGGAAACAGCACTTTAAAGGTTATCCTGAAGAGCTTTCTCTTTTACTGTAGTAAATCTTCTGTGAATAACAGGCAACTGACTACCATAAAAAGACAATATTTTCTGGAGCCTGTGCAGTCTCTGATGACTCTGGCTTGTAGCTGCATTCATGATTTTGAATGATAAAAGCAGCTTCCACTTTCTTCTGTATAGGTGATACAAATGGAGATGGCATGTGATAAAACTATCTGAAATATCTGTTACTGTGAGAGAAGTTTGCAAGTCAAGGAAGGTGACTAGCCAAACATAATACCGGCAACAGTAAATATTTATGAAACAATAATTTGGACTACTGGTGCTTAGCCACAAATGGTAAAAAGCATGTTTGAGTTTTCTTCTAAATATGGAGAGTGTGTGTGTCTCTAAGTAAATGAACTAGAAAATGGATAGTGGATGCTATTATATCTACAGCATTTCATAGAGCTGAATAGCAGCAAATAATGGATTAGCAGAATACATATTAATAAAATTTATTATTAATAAATAACATGTTTTTTGTTCAGATGTCTTATTGGAAAACAGAGATTAATGAAAAATGGAGAACCAGCAAACTTAGGATAACTGAATTTTGAAGAATCACAAGAGATTATCAATATAACTCAAGATTGCTTTAAAATGAGCTTGAAAAGATTGAAAATTTCAAATTAACCTTCCACTGACAGCACTTGTGTGTGATGTGAAAAGTTGGAGTTGTAGACTGAAATAGGCAAATCTTGAAACTCAGTGTATCATTTTAGAAGGCAATTGTTTCTCTTTTTTGTGTGTGTTTGGGATTAAGTGTTTTCCTCTGTTATTTTTTATATGAAATGCTTTTACAAGTGTTTATTATTCAAGACAGAATAAGCAGACAAATTTGGAGAGGGCATGCAATCAAAAATATTTATTGACAACTTTTTTTAGGCTGGATCTACAGAGAGCATGGCTCTCTGGCTTGGACTCATTGGAACATTTGAATTTTTGTCACCTATTTTATCAAAATAATCTACTGTAGTCTCATCTCAGAAAACTACGTTGACACAAACTCTTTTTACAGGTTTGTTGACTGAAAACTCAAGTGTTTATTTTAGATTTATTCAGGAGGTAATTTGTTCTGATACAACTACAGCTCTTGAGGCTTTCTACACAACTTTCAAGATAATTTTCTATTTCTCAAGAGGTTAACTTGATATGTAATGGGTTTGACTGCCTGCTAGATATGGAGTCTTCAAAAATCATTTATGATTAAATTTTTGAGACTATAATCTGAAAAATGTGCTTGTATTAGCATTTCATCAGAAAGCTCAAATGACACTTGGAAGCATAATCCATCTGAATTCAGATGCACCTTGTGGTAGCTCCACCACTCTCTCCCCAGATATGCAAACCTAATCAGGCTTGAATCTTGAAGATTTTAGTTAGCATTAATCAGTTAGAGGAGAAAAAGTTAAAACACTTCAGGAATGTCTCTGGAGACTTCATCTTCCCTGAGCAAGGAGGAGATGTTATTGCAAAGGGCAGAGCAGTGTCTGTGGACACGCTCCTGGCACTGCTGCAGACACAGGCACAGGATCTCTCCTCCTGCTCTCAGAGCTGTCAGGAAACTCTGAGACACCAGCTGTGGTCACAGGAACTGAATTAATGACCACAAACTGCAAACACACTGTAACCCCTCACAAACTCTCACTCCTGCCGAGATCAAGTTCAAGCTTCTTCCCCAGTCGAGAAATTTGACCACTAAATTTCTTTGTTTGTTTTTTTTCTTTGTTACAAACAAATTATGTTTTCTGCCTTCAGGACTCATAAGCTTTTCTTCTTTCAGAAACAGCTGATTTCTAATGCTGCTGACCTACAACATTTCTTACCTTATTAAATTCATTTATCTCAGGGAGGGCTGAAAGCTGAATTCCTTCCAGGAATCATTCATTTATTAATAACTGTCTCTTTCACATAAATAGTTTGTTTTATTAATTTACGTTATTCTAGCTTTGACCAGTGAAGTTATTTTGCCTTGCAGTGTTAAACCTAGAGTGGAGAAAAATTTTAAGATGCAAAACCCCTAAAATTAGTTTTGTGGGTCTCATAAATTACTCATTTTTTCAACAATTTGAGAAAGTTTTTATCTAAGTTGTTTATTACTTCTGTAATATAAGGAATTGTTTCTCATACATTAAAAGTTAATATCTAAGGAAGAGTAATGTTAATATAAGCTAATGTTAATATATGCAAATCTCTAATATTACACATTTTAAAAATGTGACTAATATTATCAAATATATAATTTCAAAGACTTTTTGAAGATTTGAATTCTCCAGCTCTTAAACCAAAATCAAAATCCAGACATATGTCAAAAATGATTTTGTTAAATAGATTAATTACATCTAAAGTAGATAACAGATTCAGAAAAAAGCAAAACTAGAATTTTTTCCCCATAGAACTATGTGTTAAATACTACTACTACTACTACTACTACTACTACTACTACTACTACTACTACTAATAATAATAATAATAATAATTCCATATTAGATGAGAAAGGAATCGAATTCAAACACAAAAGTCAAATAAAATTCTTCTTAATATCTAAGTATCACTATTTCTAACACTTTAAAGACTTTCTCACATAAACAGAAGTTTTGTTCTCTGGTTAAGCTAAATTATAAGGAACAAGAATTTGATAGCAGCTCCATGTGGAATGATTCCACAGATTATAGTGAGAATAACAATAACGAAGTCTATAGTATTGCAGTTTAAGTTAACATCTCATGAGGATTTACACTGAAGAAACTTAAATCAGAATGCAGACACTGATGATCAAAAAAAAAAAAAAAAAAAAAAAAAAAAATAAAAAAA